GGTATCCTGGAAGACAAAGAAGCAAACCACTGTTGCGAGATCGTCTGCAGAGGCAGAGTACAGAGCTATGGCAAATGCTTGTGTGGAAGTCCGTTGGATGCGAGGAATTTTACTAGCCTTGGGAGTTCCTATTTTATATCCTCCCCGATTATACTGTGACAACCAGTCCGCTTTATATATTGCAGCTAATCCTGTTTTTCATGAACGAATGAAGCATGTGGATGTTGATTGTCACACAGTTCGAGAAAGTGTCCAGCGGCATGAGGTGTCGACACGATATGTTCCTACTCGATACCAGTTGGCCGATATTTTTACTAAGCCGTTGGGCAAACCTAGTTTTGATTTTTTATTATGCAAGTTGGGCATTCAGGATCTTCATGCACCAACTTGAGGGGGAGTGTTAGCAGGTATTTGTAATTTTGGACTGTAATTAGTTTATCGGGCCCACTTGTAACCCTAAGCCCGCTTGTACTTGTATATATACACTTGCTTGTGATTAGTAAAACCAGATCAGTTTTACTCTAAATTTTACAATTATCTTATTCAATTTGAAGAATATCATCTCTGAATTTATGGTTGTTCATTAGTGTATATTAAAGAAATTAAAGAAACAATGTCCCTTTGAACGGTTTTACGTAGAATATACGGAATATGTTACTTTATTTTTTAGGAAACATGTTTCTTTTGTTGATGTTTAGTGCAGAAATTTATCTGTTCTGTGACAAAAATAATGTTAGAAAAGTTATTAGTCTTATGCGTTTCGAAATTAATTGTCCTGCTCTTCGTGTTTAGATGATCTATGAAGAGATTATGAAGAGATGAGTTATGCCAAAGCTTCACTTCTAAAAGTTTGTATTCCTTGTGTCGGTAAAATTTGTCATCTTTTATAATTTTCAATGTAACACTATGATTATTAATATAAATATTTATGGATTGGTAACTCTATATAAATTTAATAGTTCAAAAGTATGTATACAAATGAATTTTTTGATATTACATTTATATTATTGTTTGTGTATAGCTCAATATATTTTTTGGTTTATCAATGCCAAAGTTTTAAAATTTTGATCAAGAGAAATCAAATGAAAGAAAAATATTGTACATATGGAATATAAAAAAATACTCCATATGACTATATGAGCTACTTATAGTTCAGAGACTACAGTAATAAGGTATGATTATTACTATTTTCTAATAAATCTCTTCTATTCTTTTCTTTAATAGAAATGAAAAAAACAATAACTCCCCTCTTCATTACTTCATGCATATAGCCATAATTACAAAGTATAATTATGGACTAACTTTTTCTTCTCTCGGCATTATCTTTTTGAATGTCCTAGTGCTAAAAATTATAAATGTAATTACTATTAACTAAAATGGTTGAAAATTATGAAAACTTCCAATTTCTTATATTTAAAGTTCTATAAAATAAAATGTGACATGACTATATTATTTTGTCAAATGAGTACCTAAAATGAGCAATGAAAGTGATTACAATTTAACTATGTATATAGTAAACAAACAACTTAAATTGAGATGTAGAAGTAATATTTTTTACATATTCAACTTTGTACAACAATAAATTTTTTGTCCTACCTCCAAACATGCAAAATCAATGTGACCAAAGATCGAAATGATGTAGACACAACGAAGTCTTTGTGCTAGGTAGATGCAAATGTAGGTGTTGATGGTGATTAGATATCATCAGTTAATTTTTTGAATGAAATCAAATATTTGAGCATTTCAAATCATAATATAGTTTGGGAAAAAGGATATTGATTATGTTATTGTGAAAACATTGACTAAATTTTTGGTTTGGGTAATGCTACAAGCTAAGGTTAATTATAGAAATGCTTCGAAATAATATTATGGGTGCAATTATGATTTCAAGAAATTAAGCCGGAGAAAAAGTTTACATATCTCGAATGAATTTGATACCATCAAATCGATATCATTCTTGAAGTTCCAAAGAAGACTCTTCTCAATAACCTTATGAGATGACAATGGAAACTCTTATAAGTACACCAAGAATATTTTATACCCCAAAGTCTTCCAAAACAATTATACTCCGTAGTTAACAAGACTTGGTTGCCTTGCCTTCACTTTCAATATTATATTAGAGTTGACCAAATGTCCAATTTCATTTTGATGTATATAAATTTGTTAGAAATATTTTTTATTAAATTCGCTAGAAATATTATATTGAAAAAAAGTTGGATTAAGCTCTTTGTACTCCAATTTGTACACCACAGATTTGTACCTTCATTTTATGTCACTGCAATGCTAGGGTGATAATCACAAATAGACAAAATGTTAGTGTAAATTTTTACGGAGTATTAACGCGCCAACAATTGTGTCAGTATGAATCGTTAAAAAGTTAGTGTATACTTTTGGTATATCTTTGGGATACACTTTTGGTATATCTTTGGGATACCTCTGTCCCTGAAAACCTTTCTCCTTTCTTTTTTCATCCGTCCCAAAAAACACTTCTCATTTCTATTAAAAAGTCACTTTTATCTTTTACTTTTTCATACCCTACTTATCACATCATATTTTTTTTACTAATAATCTATTCATCAAATTACACTTTTACCCATCACATCAAAAGTCATTTTTGAAAATTCAATACTAAAATACAATCCTCTTAAATTTTTCTTCAATATCAAAACTCCGAAGTTTTCTGGAACGGAGGGAGTAGTATAAACGGAGTAGAATATACAGTGGGGGCGGTGTTCCCCTCCCTTTCCCGGCTTTCCCGTGTCGGCTTCCTCTTCAGCACACCCCATAGCTTTAAAAAAAAAGTTAAACAAAAGGGACCCTTAGCAAAAAAACGGCAAAAGTGATCAACTATTCAACCGCTGCAGGTAGATATGGTGCAGAAGATGTTCACTTTTCATTTAAGAAAAGACTGGAAACAACTCCGGGCGTAGTGAATACAATATCAAAACTCCGAAGTTTTGATATTAACAACTCCGGGCGCAAAACTCCCAAGTTTTCTAGTAGTGAATACAATATCTAATACAATGATGGTGGACATTTAGTTTGAACAATATCCAGTGATAATGGACATAATGACGAATGGACAATGACCAGTGGTACTACATTTGAAAATAAAATCATATGGTATCACATTGTGAAAGTTACTATGTTTTAGTAGTAAATTTTCATTTCCTTATTCATATCGAAATTATTAATAAGTACTCATTTTTTTTGTACTTATAGTGGAAAATAAATCTTATTCATAAAAAAATCTCGAAAACACGAGATCAAATATAAAAGAGTAATTAGGAAACATATCTCAAATATAAATGAATGCATTAGTCATGTTTTCATGATAAAATTACTTTTGAAAAATACCTTATTACAAAGAATAAATTTGGTACCGTCAGATCCTGGATTATGCTGGAGAGACAAACCGTAATTCACCACAGTCTCATAACCCTGGGATACATGGGGCCAATGACCCTTTAGGTGCTTTTTGGAACACTGAACATGCAAAGAATGTAGTCCCAGATGACAAAACTAGACCTAGGTATGAAGAAGAATTGAGTAGCTATAATAGAACAAGTTCTTCAAGGGCAGTCAACCCGGATGTATCGCCGATGCCGGTCAACTCACGGTTTCGTCTTCCATCTTCGCAAAGGAAAGTCTGCAAATTAGGTTTGTTTTGAATTTCTTTTTTTTTTTTGTATTTATGTATAGTCGAGCAAAATCCGGTCTTGAGATTACGTGTAGCTCTAGGCTCGAATTGAAGAACCTCGGATCTGGATTATCGCCAACAGTTTGTCGGCCAGTGTAGCTTTGAACGAAGGTGGATGAGCGGCAATGGCCAAGGTCGGACTGCTCCAGGTTTTTTCCCTTCAATTTAGGTTTGTAATCAATCCAAGATTAACGTATTTATTGTTTTATTTTGTAACTTTGTATGCATATGTAAGAATCTGTGATAGACATTGATGTAAAGTATTTGCTTTATGATGTCAAAGATACACTCAAAGCTTAAGGGAACTCACATTTTGTAATGAGATGATCTTATGTATTTGTTGTTTGAACTTTTTGTTTCTTTTTGAGTTTATTCGGTGTTATAGTTCTAATAGAAAAATTGATTGCTCATGTGAGTATCTCTGTATGGGGTGAAAGCAAAACATTTTTTGGCTATAAAAGAGTAAATATTTTTGTTTATTCATAATCTTCTTAGTTTTATTCAAATGATTAGTTTTACATATTGTGCCTTATAAATTAGTTTTGTTTAATCCTCTTCATCATGATGTAGCAACGTAGGACAAGTTCAAACTTAGGAAGTGACTTATTCATAAGAGATTAGTATTATTTATTCTACTTTGTTGCTAATGTATATTATTAAAAAGATCATGTTACAAATAAATTTTCTCTAATTTGTAAAAATATTACATTGCAAAATATTTTTTGAATTGACAAAAAATGCGTTCGATCCCGTGCGTTGCACGAGTTAAATACTAGTAATATAATATTTGAAAGTTGATAACCTAGAATTTTGAGACGTGACAAATTTAGAGTTATGTTTTTTTTGACAAATAAGCTTACACGTGTGTCTCCTTCAGTTTAATTACGAAAGGGCAGCTTCCCAGACGTGTCTCTCCCTTATCAAAATTCACAGACGCTTGGAGTCCGTCTTCTTCTTGGAAATCTGCTTCCCTACGCAGTTTTTCAACGAATGAAAGGACAAAGGAAAGGAAGTCTTTTCACCCTAATATCCTGTTCCGCGTCTACTTGAAATCGAGCTCTGTGGAATCACCCTATGGATTTGGTTTCTCTTCTTCGCTTAAGGAAACTGCTCGGATGCCATGGAAATTTCCATCTTCTATCTTCCCCCTTCTTTGAGTATATCGAAATTGCCATTCTTAGTTCGCAAGATCCAGACTATCCTTCTTGGATGTTGGCGAAATTTCTTCTCCATGTGAAAGATCTCAAAATTTCCAATTTTGATCCTATCTATTGTAAGTTTCCTTCTTCAATTCAATAAAATTGGTATTAAATTTAATAAAATTGAAATGCTTTCTTATATAATCCGTTGTAGAAAAAACTTATGAGGCCAAATTACTCTATTTTTTGTGCATTACAGATATTCCAAGTAAAATTACTTTGTATTGGTTCATTCAAAAATTTACTTTATATTTGTACGCAACAATAATATGATTGTATTGTTTGTTATCTTATATACTTTGTGGAACAAGAGACATATGAGGCCAGGTTACTCTGAATTTGTTCATTTTTGCCAAACTTTTTCATTTTTGCCAAACTGTTCATTTTTGAATTTGTTCATTTTTTCCAAACTGTTCATCTACTTTTTTATGACATTACTGCATATATGATCTCTATTTCATTTTTGAGCATTTGCCGAACTGTTCATTACTGCATATTTATAACATTTAACCTGGCCTCCTAAAACAACTCAAAAGACCAATGCTCACAGTGAAGGTATATATGATCTCTATTTCTACTTTTTTATGACATTACTAGATATATGAGTTCAATGAATTAATTCTCTGTTTCTTTAATTTTCAAGCGCATATAACGCTACTTGATAACAACATTATGTTGTTATCTACGGATAAAATGAGTCGATTTTAGCAAGTATTCTCATGGATTTTTTTCCGCAAAATTTGATATTGATACAGCCTGTTCAAAGGTCTTATTCTCCTAGGTGTTTTTTCATCAAGTTTTAGAATTTTGCATGTATACATCAAATGTTAATGCTTACCACTTTATCAACAAATGACACATTTCAGCTTATTGCATTATATATTGTTTTATATCCTACATTCCTTCATATGTTTCACTGTTATTCAGCCTAAGAAAAATGGAATGCGGGTATGCTCCAGTTCTTTATTTAATACTCCATTTACATTCGCCCCTCCGTTAACTTTTTAATGTACTATCACAAATGTCAATTTGGTTAAAGTAGGAGGCCTTGCACTTTTCTGGCCAATCATGACAAGGTTTTGTTGCTCTCAAAACTGACGTAAGCAAAGCCTTCAACCGAGTGGAGTGGCCCTTTCTTGAAGAGGTCATGACTCGTATGGGCTTCTCTCCCACCTCCATCCACCTCATCATGTTATGCATTTCCACCCCGACTCTCCACATTCAGCATGAGGGACATACTGTCACCACTATTCACCCTCACATAGCAATCAGGAAAGGCGATCCACTCTCCCCATTCCTCGTCATCATCTGTGCGAAAGCCCTCACTCAAATGCTTAATTATAGCCTTGGCAAAGGCTCTCTACATGGCATTCAGATTGCCCCCACTGCCCCCGTGGTTTCGCATTTCATGTTTGCCGACGACTGCATGCTGTACTTCAAAGCCACTCCTGAAGAAGCCCATTAGGTCCACTCAGTTCTTGCTGATTACGCCTCACTCTCTGGGCAACTAATCAATTTCAACAAATCAGCAATCTTCTTCTCGCCCAACACCTCCCATCAAATCAAGGCTGCCATCTCCTCCATCCTACAAGTTGCCGAAACAGACAATCTTGTCACTTATCTTAACCTGTCCTCCATTGTTGGTCGTAATAAAACAGAAATCTTTGCCCACATCAAAGCAAAGTTCACAGCCCAGGTGTTCTCATGGAAGAATAAATTCATTTCTAATGCCGGAAAAAAAAATGCTTGCCAAAGTCGTCCTCTCTGTCATCCCTTCATATGCCATGCAACTCTCCCTCTTACCCAAAACCTTTATTAACTAGGCCGCCGCACCCTCTCAAAATTTTGGTGGTCCAGAGGGAAATATGATGCCAAAGGAATTCATTGGTGGAGTTGGGACCGTCTTTTTTTTCTAAGAACAAGGGAGGTCTCGGTTTTTGGAATGTCCACTCCTACAACATTGCTCTCTTAGAAAAGATGGTGTGGAAGCCCCTACATCACCCCAAGGCCTTGGTGACTCAAATCATCAGGGCAAAATATTATCCTGATGATTCTCTTTTTGATTGTCCTCTTAACAGGTCTTCGAGCTTTATTTGGCGTAGCATCAAGGAATCCATCCCCCTCCTCCACTCCAGAACCCTCTGGCTCATAAGAGATGACGAATCTGCGCGTATTTGGTGTGACCATTGGCTCCCAAGTTCTCCTCCTGCTCCTCCACCAGAAATCACGCAGTATCAAGATCTTCATGTCGCAGCTCTTATCCCAGCAGGCTCCTGGGATTCCAGTGCCCTTGAAGCCCTCTTCAGTGACCAAGTTGCAAGCACCATCAAATCACTCCCACTACCTGGCGTCCCCATGCCTGACGGCTGACTCACTGTACTGGAAGTATTCTCCTAATGGATCCTACACTGTGAAATCCGGTTACCAGTCGCTCTCCTCTCAACACAATGTTTCCATTCATCCTCCAAGCTCAACTCTCACATCTTATTTATGGCAAAGGTTTTGGCAGATCAAAACTTTACTGCGAGTCCAACACACCCTTTGCCGAGCCGTGAACTACATTCTCCCAACTCGGGAGTGCCTCCTTCTTAAGAATGTCAATGTCCCCCCCCCCCTCTCTGCCCACACTGCAGCAATGCCTTAGAGACTGTCCGCCACCTGCTCGTTGATTGTCCTTATGCAAGAGAAGTATGGTATCTCTCCACTTTTGGATGGTTCATCCCATCTTTAGGATCATCCGCGGACTGGTTTGGCCATTTCCTCTCCTTATTCACTGACCGAGATATCTCACTGATCCTCTTCATATTGCTGCTATATGGAAATCCTGGCACTCGGCATGGTACCTCTGCTCGAACTGGTTGAAATCTGTCACTGCCATCCCTACTCCGCCACTTGGACCTCATTCATGGACCAAGCCTCCGGAGAAAAGGGTTAAGCTCAATGTTGATGCCTCCGTGGGTTCCGGTGATGATCAGATTGGAATTGGTTGGATTGTGCGCGACTCGGCCGGTTCTTTTTGTGCAGCCAAAAACCTTCACATGTCGGGCTCCTACTCACCCAAAGAAGCAGAAGCGATTTCTACCAGGGAAGCTCTTAGTTGGCTCAAAGACTACAATTGGCCAAATATCATTATTGGATCGGATTGTCTCTCAAATATTGAGGCTCTCCAACAACCACACATCGAAGATCTTTAATCTCCCTTGAGGCAACTGTTACTTTCTCTTTTACGTATTGTTCAGCAAATGAGGCGCCCATGGTCTCGCTCATCACAGAAGGGCTCAGTCAATGCCGCCTCACAGAAACCAAGGTTCCATACTTATTTCCATCTTCCTTCAATGTACTGTTAAATTACTTATTTCATACTATATGCTTTTACATTAGTACCTAGAAAGTTATCAAGGTTTCCATAGGCCACTCGCTGAAGGTAATCTAGCTCCCAGCCTCCTGTAGCAACTATGCCTCTGAGGCATCCCATATCCCTTGTGAATAACTCACCTTCCTTGTGTCCTTTTTTTTTAAAAAAAAAAAATTTCTTAAAGCTAGCAACTTCAGTCTACATATAATGCCATGTTGCGATTTTTTTTACTATATGATCTTTACTTTTTTTTTTAATCTCCTTGTTATTCTCTGATTTTTATCTTTAATAATTTTTTTCATTTATGTGTATAACTTATTTTATACCATTTTCAATCAGGCAAAACGTTCTTCAATGGAACTACTCTACATTCTGCCAGGTTTCATTTGTTGGGCAATCTGGAAGAGCTACCATGCGCAAATTTATATCATCATCAAGGAAGTTACTTGGCAGCTTCAATGCTGGCACTGGATCAGTAGGAACAAGAAATGGTTTGGGAGATGTGAGTTTTGAGATCAAACTCTTCTGGATTATATTAATGGGAAGAGAATTAGGCAGGGCCTTACAGAAATTAATGACTTTTGTATGCTATTCCATTCTCTTATTTGTTTTGGTACCTTCTTTCCCATTTCATCTTTCGGGGAATCCTCCACGAACGTTGATAAGTCTGTTTTGTACGCACTTATCTTCTCCGTATTTTGCGGGAAACAAGTCATGCTAAATCCTTCCTATGTACTCCTATTTTTACCTCTGTTTCGAATTAGGTTACATTTTTAGAAGATCTTTGTGTTATTTTGAAATTATTTATTCAAAAATAGCTATAAGACTATTTTATTTTATGTAATAATCAATAAAAAAAACACAAATAAACAAGAGTTACTTTGAGCTGGAAAGAAAAAGGAAAGGAAAAAATAGCAAAATAGAGTAAAATATTGGAAAAGAATCTAAATATGAGTTTACAATTTTTAATTTCTAAAATAAGGGTAATAATGAAAATAATGTCAAAAAATACCATAAAAATGGTAATATACATTGTCACAATGTCAGTGTAAATTTCTATTTCGAAGATAAAAATTTAAATTTTTTATTTTGAAGATATATGTTGTGTTTTACTACTCTAATTTGGAAAATAGGGTACTACCTTGAGTATTTAAAATGCATCCACGTACTTTTCCATGTGCCCACATTTAGAGGTAACTACTTCTGAATCATGTTCATGGGCATGCAACATTCAACCAACAGAGAACAACCAATGTCGTTCCATGAAGAGCAAGTTAAAATTCAATGCCTGGATAAATGTTTTCAGACACATTCTAATTAAAAACAGATGTCATATAGCCCAAGTGAGTAATTATCCGTATTGAGTGTTAAAACAACATTAATAATCAGTTGGCTCGCAATGAAATGTTTAATGAGTAGCAGTACGGAAAGTAGGTAGTACATAGTGAAATGCTAAAGTGCTTAACCAACAGATCTCCCCACACATTTCTAGCTGAAAAGAAAACATCTAAATTTTTGGATTGGCAGAATCCTCTTACCTAGTACAGACAGACAGATTGACAAAACAAGATGTTAACAGGGAGTATCAATTATTCACAAGGCAAACAAGAACCACTCTTCACAGTTTTCTGGATCTTCCTTTTCCAGAGATCACCAAACATTTTGATGCCGGAACCTTTCTTCTTCCTTGCACTTTGTGAAACACCCTCCCAGTCACCATCAAACAACCACTCAGTCGCCTCAGAATTGCCAGATTCGTCTACTCCCCGCTGGAGTACGCTGTTGGAGTACCTCTCAGACACCACTCTCCTTACCTCGTCCCCTGAAAGAAGTGGGCGCCGCCTCTCAGGCATCGCCATCCATCTCCCTTCAATCTCAGTGTCACCTGAGACAAGTGCGGCTGCTGCATCTGCTGCTTTCCTCCACTGCTCCGCTTGAATTTGAAGCTTTTTCAACGAAGTTTCGAACATCTCCTTTTCCTTCTCGCTGGCTTCTAGCTTGTCATTCAGCAAGGCTGCATTGGCTTTGGCCGTTTCCAGCTGGCTCAATTGGACCTCTTCCTTCGCCTTTGCTGATATTGCCTCCATTTCCTTTTTTTTGTCCAGTTCTTGCTTGAGGTTAGACAGCAACATGGTAAAAACCCTAAAATTGACGGAAAAGCATCTCTTACCTTAAGAACAAGCCCTAGATCATCCTTCGCCCCTCCGCATTCGCTGCTACTGCACTCGTCACTGCTCTTGTTGGATTCAACAATCTCTTTCCTTGTTTGCTTCCCCATCTCACCATTGCTCCAGTACTTGTCTGCCACAAAGTCGGCACCATCATTTGCCTCCAATCCCTGCACCTGCTCGCGCACATGTAAAAACCAAAACCATTTAACACATCTCTCCATTTAGCACCAACCAAACCAAAACACACCCCCAATTCCAACTTCCAAGAGAGCACAAATAAGTACTATTTTCTTTCTTTATAAAGGCATTTATTGTGTTCGGGTGATGCTATTTTTCATAAGACACAATGATACCTGGCAAGCTCGGAGCTGTTTATCTAGGAGCTGATTTTGGTATTGGAGCTGAGCCACACATTCATTTAGCTCAGTGACATATGCCTTAATGTCCCTAATGTTGTCTTCAGCTGCTTTCTTAAACATCCTTTGCATTTTCATCACGCTGACTGAGTTTGATGATTGTTTTGCTGCACCTGATGGGATGCCCTCCCTTGGAGAGGTACTGTTGCTACTCTCAGGTGGTCCTTTGTTTTCATCTTCTTTATCCATAGGCAAACAGGGAGAGCGTATCAGGTTGGGCATGTTGGCAGCAGCATTGGTCAGTGCTGCAAAAGGAAGAACCTTCTTAAAAACTAGTGCAAACCCGCACGGATGGGGTCACTCTAAAGAGCACTTAGCAACATAACATTATTTTTTAGTTGGATTTATAGAAAACGTGGCTTTTGTTATTTTGGCATTTAGTTTTAGCAATTTGAAACCAAAACATCTTGTATTAGCATTTCAAAGTTAATCAACTTGAATCCAAGAGTTGAGCAGAATTGAGAAACTTACCCTCCTCAGACTTTGCTACTTTTGGTTCTTGTAGTAGCTCGGAATATGTAAGACCAACATTAATGGAAACAAATGCCCAGCCGCCAAATGCCATCGCAGAGAAGAGGAAAGGATGATTAGTCTTGATCATATTAGAGGCTAACGCGTAGGCCAGTAGCTGCATTGGTACTATGGCATAACATTCCCAAATCGAAAAGAAACCAGACCACAAATGAAAATACCCAATTAATTGAACTGTCCACGAAGCTAGTATACCAAGGCACTCCATCTGATACGGAAAAACAAAACCAAGACCCATAGCAAGCGCAACTGAACAGATCTCAGCAATGCAAATCAATTTCCAACAGGGCAACCTATATTTCTTTTCAGGGAGAGCCAACAAGTAAATCGCAAAGAAAAACCTGCAAGTGATAAAAATTCCGTAGTTTTGGAGGGAGACCGGCAAATAAATGTTTTCAAAATCTCCCCCAAAGGCTGAATAGAACATGGGAATTCCCGCGAAAGAGACCCCCAAGATCAATAACGCCCAATTGTGATCTAAGTCCTCTGCATCATCCGACATTAACCTAACTAATAACGTTGAGTACAGACAGGAGTAATGAAACAACGACAAACAAAAGAGAAAGGATATAGTTAATTACGGCCTTTGTCCCGTGGGTTCCGGATGCATTTGGGATAAGACTTATTAAGTTCATTGTTAGTTGAAACCTGTCAATAATAATAATTATTATTATAAAGAGGTATTAAAAGGTTCAAACACACAATCTGCAGTTAATATTCCGTTCATCTCTGGAGTAATTAAAGTAGCTATTACCGTGGGAGGCATGATGGAGGATGGAGATTGTGATTCAGCCATTGAATTGAATTGATTTATAGGCATAATCAATCAAACCAAACCAAATGAGACCGAGTGATTATCTTAAAGATTCGATCGATATGCAGATTTTAGCTTCTCCGATCCTATGAGACGATGGGAATAGATTGAGAGAGTAGGAGATGGATTGCTTGACTTGAGTACAAATGAGACCGAGTGACGATTGGCAGGGAAGATCGTCGATTCGGCCGGGAGAGGGGATTGGCTGAGTTCAATCCATTGAGAATTTGAGAGGACCGAAGGAGATAGGGAAATAGGGTCAGGGAAGAAGAAGAAGAATGTCCAATACAATTTTACCTTGTTATTATATACTCCGTATTATAGAGAGAGTATTATTCTTATTAATTAGGACTCGTTTCCTTATTTACCTAGATTTTATAAAATAAGGAATTATTTTATTTTTTAAGTACTTACCGTTTATTTATTTTTCATTCTTACCAAAACTGTATATAAGGTAATTATTTTATTTAGAATTTTTTTTAATTCTGTATAAAGTTAAAATGAAACACGGTACCGTATTAGTTACTCTCTCCGTCCCATTTTAAATCGCATGTTTTGATTTTTAAACATATTTAAGGAGAAAAGAAATAGAATTAAATTTTCGAAAATATCAGTACTTTTTAATAAGAATAACGATGATTGAGAAGATAAAGTGGATAAGATTGATTTATTTTAGAGGTAGTTTAGTTATTTTACTCTTTAAAGGTTACGAAAACAACTAACAGGAAACTTATTTTGGGACAGAGAAAAAATGCAAACAGACAATTTAAAATGAGACTGAGGTAGTAACATTTTTCTAACACCGTATCATAAATTTGATATAACTTTAATTACGTTTTTATACACATGTTAAATCTTAATTTGTAAATATATACGGAGTATTAAATAGTTTTTGGTGTTACATACGGAGATAGGGAAATAGGGTCAGGAAAGACGAAGAATGTCCAATACGATTTTAACTTCTATTCAAGGGGACCTTGTTATATACGGTTTATTATTCTTATTAATTAGGTCTTGTTTCCTTATTTACCTATATTTTACGGAGTACGTAGTATAAAATAAGGAATTATTTTATTTTTTAAGTACTTACCGTTTATTTATTATTCATTCTTACCAAAATTGTGTATAAGGTAATTATTTTATTTAGAATTTTTTTAAAAAAATATGTATAAAGTAAAAATGAAGCACGGTACCGTGTTAGTTACTCCCTCCGTCCCATTTTAAACCACCTGTTTTGACTTTTAGGCATATTTAAGGAGAAAAAAATAGAATTGATTTTCCAAAAATATCAGTACTTTTTAGGAGGGATAACGATGATTGAGAAGATAGGTGGATAAGATTGACTTAAAATGGGAGAGAGGTAGTAACATTTTTATAATACCGTATCATAAATTTGATATAACTTTAAATATATTTTTATACTCATGTTAAATCTTATTTTGTGTATATATATATTCGTCCAATTTTGACTTTTGGAACTGTTCATCTAAGCACTTTGACTCATCAAATTTTCTCAATGTGTAAGCTTAAATATAGTCATGTGTGATCTTGTTTAATTTTTCTTAACATATAGATTATTAATATATAGTTTTCATAATTTTTTAATATATAATTAAAAGATAAAATGGCTTAAAAAAATGTATTGGATGGCGTGTAAAAATGAAAGTGGACAAATACTCTGGAACGGAGGTAGTATAAAGTAATAGCAAAATTAGAAAATAACACTAAAATTATTCATTTTAAGGTTTGCTTTTTTAAAAAAGGAAGAGTTTTATGGGACGGAGGGAATAGAATATAGTTTTACAATTACACTCCTTTTAAATCTTTTAAAAGTCAAAATTAGAATATTTTTGTAGGGCGGATGGTGTATTATTATTCTTTCACATGTTACTTTTGTTATAACACGGTACCAAAAATTATATTGTATGAAATTAATTACGTTATTAATAATTAATTTTATAACTTATAATGGGGAGCGTCTAAAATGACACCAGTTACTTATACATAATTTGCTTACACACCAGTTCGTTTGAATTACCTACGGTACTCCGTTTGTAAAAATGACGCCCC